ACTTACTCCAAAACCAAACTCGTGCAGTGCAGGCAGCTTTCCCTTCTCCTGAGGGCTGGTGAGAGTGGTGGTGACTTGGCAAAGGCAGGAAGGGCACTGAAGCTCATCAGTGGCAGCAGGTGATATCACAACACACTAGTGTCCCCTCCTGGTGGCATCACTGAGCAACTGTGCAGCCATGAGGGCAGCAGGGAACCTGAGTGGCTGCTCCAGGGAGGACGAGGCAGCCACTGCCTGGAGGATCTGTGGGTGTGAGAGCCCTGAGTGGGGAGGAGGAAGAGGCTCTGGGACGCTGTCCGAGAGGGCCCTGTCCCCTGTTACTGAAGAGGAACCGGTGTCCATTGATGAGGCCTCTGTGCCCCATCCCCAAGGCTCTGCAGCCGCCTCCACCTGCGCCAGCCTGGCTTGGACTCGTCCTCTGGGCACAGCTGCTGCTCCTGCCACAGCGAGAGGCTGAGCCTCCTGGGAGGTTTGTGATTGGGGCCGTCACACTGTGCAGGGCCTGTCAGTGTCCTTTTCACAGGAGTGTGTGTAGTGTCACAAAGATCAACATGGGTTACTAGACTAAATCACTAGAATTTTGTTGAGACATGTGTCTCTTGTGAATATATTTCCTAGACTTTTTATTCTTTGTTTTACAAATCCTTTTCTATAGACCACTTTTTCTTTGTGTTTTGGACTGTTTTGATAAGAATACAATTATAAATACACGGGCCCTGGTCTCCACTTTACTGATTGTGGGAGTGAAATCAGCAGATTTTGACTGGATGTGTCCCCACTTGTGAATATACATGTAGAAAAATACTCTGAAGATTGTCATTCTCTGTATGTGTTAAAAACTCCTTCCTATATAACATGTTTCCCTTCTTTTTGTTTTTGTATTTCAACTGAAGAATACAAGTTTAATTGCACTTATAGTGGAATCCATTTTCTTAAAATGGACAATCATTTCTGATGAGCAAGTGATTTGACCATATTTGGCCTCTACTATATGCACATCATACTGGCCTAGCAGCAGTCTGCCCGTAGTCTGAAATTTCTTACCTGTTGGGTAAGAACACTCACAGTATTCTGTGTCATTTCAGTGATATATGAGGTACGTTCTATGAAATATGTCTTCTAGGGTTTTCTTTTTTGTTTTTTTTTTTTGAGACAGAGTCTCACTCTGTTGCCCGGGTTAGAGTGCCATGGCATCAGCCTAGCTCACAGCAACCTCACACTCTTGGGCTCAAGCAATCCTTCTTCTAGGGTTTTTGTTTGTTTCTTTTTAAAACCCAACTTTTCAAATGTCAAGAACTTCCTTTGTCTATTAGCAAGAGGCAATTGAAGCAAATAAAAGAGTTTTAGCATTAGAATCTTTAATCTTACACCATGAATTTACAATAGTCTATTTGGAGGCTTAAAAACCAAGATTTCTACTACTTGTCCTCAGCCAGCGGCTCCTGTGGGCAGCTTTTGTAGAATGCTCTCACCACCATCTCTGTGGTGGTAAGAAGTGAAAGGAGAAGAAGGAATTTGGGAAAGTGGGAAAGTACCAATTGCTGAATATTACCAAATATTATCCTCTTAAAAACATGCATAAAACTGCTACACCTCAATATGTATTCAACACATAGTGCTCCCAATCTGCATTAATTTCCGGGCTTTTTTTACTGACTGAATCTTATAGACAAATGTAGACAAAGCAGAAGGATGAGGGTGAGATTTCACTTGGCTCTCCCTTCGGTCATGTCTAGTTACTCAGAAGGCGTTGGGATCCTATTTATTTTTCTGCTACTTACGCCATGCCAGGGCTGCTGCAGCTAACAGGGCTATTAATGGATTTGCCTGACTAATAGACAAGACACTCATGTAATGAACACCTCAGATGCAGCCTGTTGCCCTGAGTTCTCCAACTACATTCTCTTATACAGCCAGAAATTCTGCTGAGCTGTCACCAGACAAACAACACATTTGGGCAGCTGGGCCACCCCAAGCATAGAGGTTTGTGTTTGGGGCTGTATCACTGTGCAAGGAAAATATGAAGCTTGCATGCAGTAATACACTCCCACATCCTCAGCCTCCACCCTGCTGATTTTCAGTGTGAAATCTGTCCCTGACCCACTGCCACTGAACCCGTCTGAGACCCCAGAGTCCCGGTTGGAAACCTTATGAATCAGGCGCCTTGGAGGTTGGCCTGGCTTCTGCAGGAACCAATTCAAATAGGTGTTTCCATCACTGTCTTGGATGCTCTGACTAGCCCTGCAGGAGATGGAGGCCGACTCTCCAGGGGTGACAGACAGGGACAGGGGAGTCTGGGTCATCACAACATCACCACTGGATCCTGAAAAAACAAGAGAGAAGTGCAAGCTTATATACACACATTAGAGGCATTTTCATAAGTTGCTTTTGATAATTATTTTAGTCTAAATTTTTTGTGTGCTCCATGTTTAGATTCATATTGCCCAAGTATACAGTTTTATAAAAGAATGGATATTTTCAAAGCCCAAGGGAGCCAATAGAATTCATTTCTACTGTTCCCCTCTTTTTGTCTGAAAGTCTTCATGAGACCACAGGCCCTGCTCTTTCTAGAATCTTCCTCACTCTCTCAGATCTAATCCTGACTTGACACATCCAGGAGGACAAGACGTGCACATCTAACACATGCACAGAGCAACGTGGCAGGCAGTGGGGCCCCACAGCTCACTCTCCCACCCCGTCCTCCTTCCTCATCTCCTTCTGTCCTTACCAGGGACCCAGAGCACCAGCAGCCCCAGGAGCTGAGCAGGGAGCCTCATTTTGAGAAGTGGGACTGAGGAGTCCTGGTCAGTCCAGGCAAGATTAGATTTGAGCTTTTATCTCAGACTTCTAGGGGCAGGTCCTCCCCAGGGGACAGTATGCAAATGCCCTGGTCAGTGCAGTGGTGTAGAAGGAGCCAACAGGAGCATGGGGGCGTCACTTGTGAGCAAAGTAACAAAAAAACGTTCTCTGTGGTTGGAGGGAAACTAACAGAGGAAAATAATCTATTTAGCTCCAGTAGGAGAAAAGACATATTATAATTGTTCCTTCCTTTTCCTCCATGTTTTATAATAGTTCTTCAGCATTTTCCCAGGCACATTATACTTTTCTTTTATGAGGTTTATTTTCCATAAATATTTTATGAATTATTTTTTAAACTGCTTGTGTAGTAGATACTAGCTTTGGTCTTTTCTATTTTTTAACTAATTTTTAAATTTAATATTGAAATATTAAATGTACAATTAATAATGTTTTATGCATATTTAGTATGGAAACATATGTATAGAATATTTCACAATCCCCAGATGCTACCATCTTGCATGTTCCCTGTCAGTCACTGCTCCATTGTCCCAACCAGGGTGACCGTCATTCTGACATCTGTCGCAAGTGTGCCTCTTCCTGAACTTGAATGTCATATGTTTGAAGTAAACATTTCATTGTTGTTTCTAGTTTCTTTCTTGTTTCCTGCCTGTTTTTGAGGCCTTCATGCTTTCCTGTGGATTCAAGTTGTTGTCTGTTGTCATTTCCTGTAATTCTGAAGAATTTCCTCTTAAATTTCTTATAGAGCATGTCTGAAAGTAATCATTTCTCTTCATTTGTGTTTATCAAGAGTATGTTTTTACCTTGTCTTTATTTTTGAAGAGAAAAAGAAATGAAAGGAAAAGAGCTTAACTGGTTTAGGGAAACTGGAGATTTGTAGAGAGTGGTTTTATAGTTTCAGGAGTGAGAACATAAGTTTTCAAAACTGTTGAGGAGAAGAGTGCCTGAGTCTGTGCTGGGGGGTGTGCTGTGGAGTGGGGTGGAGATTAGAGGACCATCCCAGGAAGAGTCCTTTGCCTGCAAGGTCAGAAACATCTGTCTTCTGGGAAATGAGATCAGTAGCTGGGGAGTCAGAGCCGGGTTCTGCTCCTCTGTGTCATGGTGGTCATCTGTGCACACACACTCCTGGGGACAATTGAGTGTTCCTCTTTGTGGCAGCTCCAGGACCCTTGGGAAAAGTTGCTAAGCACCAAATGAAGGCATACTTGCAAACTAAAGTTCTGATCCACTCTTCATTCCAACATGATCCAATCATGTACCAAGGTGTAGAAAGACAGAAATGAAACTAGAGGCTTCTATTTTGTTCCTAGCAGGCGTGTGCCACACAACATCTCACTGAATCTAGATGTTTGGTAAGACAGGAAAACACAGATTATACTCTGTGATCTATACAGAAATTCTACGATCAGGCTGTGCTAACAGCTTTTACTGACCCCATCACCTGGGCTAAAGCTGACCAATAGAATATTACCTATACTGCCACATAAATAGATGTATTAAATTAAAGTACATCTAAATTAAAATAAAATACTTATGGCATAAACATGACCATTTCGTAGTCCATTTAGCAATACATTAAGAGGAAATTAATAGAAAATAATATTTGAATAAAAAGAGTGAAATGTGCCTCATTTATGGAAAAATGAACATATAGGAGTAAAATCGCTCAGAATTCCATGGCTAATAACACTGAGCATTTATTTTCATGTTCATGGGTGTTCATGTTAACAATCGTCTGGCTGATCAAGGTGGTCAGCAGGGTGGTTCTACTGCAGGACACTGAGCTCGTCTCCAGCCTTTGGATTGTGTTTGATGCCGAGCCAAGATTGTGCCCACTCAAGGCAGAGCATCTGTAGGGCAAAGTAGCAGGACTGAACAACGTCCCCAAAGCAGGCTAAGAGGCAAATGTAAGTCCAATCATGTCTAACAAGGTACACATTATTTTAATTTATTCTTTTACCTTATTTATTTATAGTCTCTAAAAATATTTACTGCATTTAATTTCGAAGGTAATTGTGCATGGAAAAATAATTAGGTTTTTCATATTTCTTATTTTTACTACTTAAAATACTTTTCAAATATAATTTTGCATTAAATAGAAATAAAGCTGAGTGTGTTTTCAATATAAGGCTTTCCTCACTGGGAAAAGAAATATCTTTAGCTAAAGGTAAATGTCCTTGAACACATAACTTCTTAAAACTTCTGTAGATTACCTGTGAAGTTGTTACAATGAAGATCAGCATTCATTTTGTCTAAAATGCCTTTGGTACTTTGCATGTGCAACATGCTCATAGTGATGTTGATGATGCAGCCAGCATCGGGACAAATGTTGAACAGCAAAGTTTTCATATCAAGGAAAAATTATACTATATGGACCTTTAGGTTTTCTTGTTTGTTTACTCGAGAAAGGTTTTTCATTTGTTTGTTAAATGGTTGCTATAGATTCTGGGCTATTTTCTCTTCTTTCAGTTTACTCTATGACTTAAGAAAGATTTCTTGCAATGATCCCATACTTGCTACTAATGTGTGGAAGCACATTCAAGCATATTCTGAGGCCATCAAATACCTGAAAAGTTCTGAGATTTGGGAAAATATTGACTTTATGTGGCTGTCAGAATTCAATCCCAACACCACCACCATTTCTGGAAGCATGTTTCCCAAAACTGCTTTTCTCTCTGAGGTTTCTTGTAGAGTTACTCAATCAGGTCCCCTCCTATCATATTTGAAAGTCAGAAGAGGATGATTCAATATTTATAGACACCTGCGGGCAGACAGCTGGACAGAGCTGAGGAGTGGAGGATCCCCTGGTGAGGAGCTGCATCAGCTGAAAACATCAGCACCCCCACCTTTGAGCCTCCAAGACCTATCTGAGGACCACATGGCCAGGCAGCTCATAACATTGGTGGCAGAGAGACTCTGGCTACTGTCAACCACCAGAGAGTCCCCTGTTTCTAGCATCAGCTTCCTTGACTACCCTACACACAGGATTGTACTTCCAATTCTAATTTCCTTTATTAAAAGAATTCTTGCTTCAAATTTGTAGAGTGCCTTGTATTTTGCTGTATAAACCGGACTGATCCCATAAAAGAGATTCCTCAGGTTCCATAATTGTTGTCCTTTATTAACTCAGGAGAAGCTTTGTCATGTCTGCACTGCTGAGGCTGAGGAAGAGTTAGAACACAGAAGAGCCTCCCTGGCCCTGTCTACCAAAACCTTCACAACTTGGCTGTCTCTAAGAAAAGCTCTGGGCAGATGGAGGCACCGGGAGGTACAGCTTCAGCAGGAGCAGCTGGGGCAGCCCCACCTCCCACATCTGCTTCCCTGGGGGGTTTTTGTTCGGCCTTATAACCCTGTGTGAGGGTTATTTTTATACTGACGACAGAAATATGTTGCAGCATCATCAGTCTCCAGGCTTCTAATGGTGAGAGAATAATCTGTCCCAGACCCACTGCCACTGAATCTTGATGAGACCCCAGAGTGCAAGTTGGATGCTACATAGATCAGGGGCTTAGGAGGTTTCCCTGGTTTCTGCTGGTACCAGGATAAACGATTGCTAATGTCCTGACTGGCCCGGCAAGAGATGGTGACTGTGTCTCCTGGAGATACAGACATGGAGGATGGAGACTGTGTCACCTGAATGTCACATCTGGTACCTGAGATGGGAAACATAAAACAAATAATCAAGATGACCTCCCTGAAGCAATACAGAGCACACTGGCTGAGAACATTCCTGGTGTTGTCCCTTTTTACCTGGGAGGCAGAGCAGCAGGAGCCCCAGGAGCTGAGTGGGGACCCTCATGTCCATGCTGTTCCCTGACAGGGACTGACTCCTGCACAGGGTGTGACCAGCCTGTTGATAAGTCTGCAGGGCAGGGGCTGTGCTGTGGGAATATGCAAATCAGCAGGGGATGGGCAAGCTGGGCACAGCTGCAGGGTTGGCTCATCTCAGTGACTCAGGACAGTCCCAGTGTCCCCAGTGTCCTATGTCAGACCAGGGCAGCACAGATTCACATGCAGACAATGTCTTTCTCCCTGGAGAACATTTTGTTGAAAAGGAAATTTGGGGGCACCATTTTTAAAGCTTGAATTGGATATGGAGACTACATGGAGTGATGTATTTCAAAGTTGTATTGAGTGTATGTACCAGAACATTCTTATTTATAAAGAATGTGTAATAAAGGCTTAGAGGGTGGGACTTTCAGGTATACTGTCAATTGTATGACTTTCAACATACTGTCAATTGCTTCCAGATGCGACTCTTGGGACACCACCACTGCATCTCCTGCTGACCTCCCCAGGCCCAGCTCAGCCTTCTGGTCATCAGCCTCTTCATCTACCTACATGGTCTCTTCTGAGTGACCATCCTCCCTAGTGGGAGAACAAATGAGACCACTCATCCCCAGGTGTATATGGAGGACAAATTCCATTTTTGGAAGGTCACCTATGTCCTCCTGGGTTCACTAGGAATGTGTGATATGACCTAAGGTGCATTTAGACAAGAAACTCACAAACTCTTGTGTCATTAAATCCTTAGAGCTCTGTGTGATGTGCCACTCTCCGTGAGCTCGCAGTGGCACCTTTAGTGCCAGGCAGGTGTCCCTACAGCTCTGTGATTCTTCCTGAGACAGACATCAGAGCTTCCATCTGGGTTCAATCTCAACCCCACCCCCACCAGCATTAACACCCCAACAATGAGCCACTGATCTGTGCGCTGTGCCTACAGCTGCTCTCCACCACTTGATCCCCTTCTGATTTACTTCCTCTGCCCAAGGGCTTAATATTCTTCTTATTCACAGGGCAAATATTGAATTACATAGTATCTTGTATTTTTAAAATTTCTGTTGAACATGGCATACTACACTCACTAATTCATTCAGACTTGGTTCTTGTTTGCATATTTTAAAATGTGGCATTGGAATTCAGAAAACACCAATTTTTACTTCAACTCATTTTGACTGGG